AAATTAATAGTGCTTAAATCATTTCTTACTAATACCCAGAGGTCGGCTTTTATCAGGGCAAATCTGTGCCCACACCATTCTAACAGCCTTTTGCAACCTTGCATTGAGAATATCTCCCCATAAAATAAATCACACAAGTATGGAGATATTCTCAATGCAAGGCAGTAAAAGCTGCCCGAATGGGCTTTGCCCTGACTGAAGCCGAACCCTTCTACCCAAGGTTTAAAATGTCGATGTCGATGGAAATGTCGCTTACCAAAATATAGGACATATGTCGGAAATGTCAAGGGGAAATATTGTAAAAATTAGAGACATTGTGGAAATATTATGAAATATGTGGAAATATGCAAAGATATGTTGTAAAATGATAAAAGAAGCATTAATACATATTTCTAGACTATNTTTTGTTAATTCTTTTTATAAATATTTTATTTGAAATATTAAATAGAAATATTAATGGAATAATCTATATTAATATACTGTATTATATTAATATAATATACTAATATATTATATTTTTAATGTACATTAGTCGACATGTTGTCGACATAATAGGAAAAACTGTATTTTTTTTTGTTATTTGGACCATTTTGGTCGACATTTCCGAAATATAGGAAATGTCGACCGACATAATGTAATTTTTATATTGCCATCCATTTTCATGTCGGTGAGCCTCGACATTGACATATGTCGAGCGACATTAGCGACATTTGGCGATATTTGAAACCATGTTTCTACCCATGCCCTTTTTGGTCTACCCCTAGCTCTTCTAGCCCCTTCCACTTGTAGCAAATCGCTTCTTCTAACTAGAGTTGTTGGTGCTCTTCTATGCACGTGACCAAACCATCTTAGCCTACTCTCTCATTTTATCACTTATTGGAACTACTCCTAGGTTTCTACAAAAACCGTCATTCCTAATCCTATCATTTCTAGCTTTTCCACTCATCGATCTTAGCATTCGCATTTCTACCACACTCATCGAACATGTTTCTTGACTGGCCAACACTCTACTCCATACAACACAACCAGACTTACAAATGTTATTATAGAATTTTCCTTTTAATCTAAGTGGTATTCTCCTATCACACAAAAGTCCAGATACACCCCTCCATTTTGCCCAACCTGCTCTAATTCTCTAGGTGACATCCTCCTCAATATCTCCCTTGTTTTGAATTATTGAACCAAGGTACTGGAAATGGTTACATTGAGTAATCTTTTGGTCTTCAATCCAAAGTGTATCCTGATTTACACTCCTATTATTACTAAATTTACATATCATAAGCCTTTTATAGATCAATGAACGCCATATGAAGATTGAAAGCCTTGACTTTAAAGAAGAAAGGGGAGAAGTTGGAGAGGAAGACATTGAGCTCAGGAGAGATCTAAGAAAACAGTTAGAGGATTGCCTGCACAAGGAGGAAATTAGCTAGAGGCAAAAATCTCGGTGTAAATGGGTGCAAGAGGGGGACAGAAACACTAGGTTTTTCCACTCTCTAGTAGAAGGCAGGAGAAGGAAGAACCTGATCTCCAAATTGGTAGTAGATGGAGTTGAGCCAGTGCATC